CCCCCCCCCCTTTTTTTTTGAACCGGGGATTGAACTCAGGCCCTCCTGCTTGCCAGGGAAGCACTTATTCCACTGAGCCATCTCCCTGGCCCAAGAGTGGCTTTTAAAGATATAAATGAGATACAAAAATAGGGAACTTTAATCCCAGTGTGGAGGTGCAAACCTGTAATCCCTGCACTCAGAAGTCTGAGGCAGGAGGATCATTTTGAGTTCTAGGCCACACTGGGCTACATGGTGAGTTCAAGGTCACCATGAGTTCAAGTTACATAGTGAGACCCCATCTCAAATAACAAACGAGCAACAACAACACATACACACGTACACACACAAACAACTAGGGAGCTTGAAGTATATACTTCTGGGGGAGAGTGGTGAATGATAGGCATTTAATTGGGGGAAGGGTACGTGTGAATGGCAGAATATCAAGAAGAGGTTGAGGAAAAATATCTGTGTGGAAGATTTGGGAGGAGAGAAATACCCGAAGAGGATGTGGCAGTGTGTGTAGGGAGATCAGCTCTCATTTAGAAGTGAGAAAGCTTCGCTCCTTCCCACCCTGTCCCCCCAGCTGGCGGGCCTCTTCTCCTGCATAGTGGTCCTGTTGGTGCTGCTGTGGCTGGGACCCTTCTTCTACTATCTGCCAAAGGTAGGGAGCAGAGGTGGCCCAGAGGACCTGAAGGGAAATGGCTGTACTCCAGGACATCGGGGAAGTCAGCCCCCCTCTTCTGCCCCAAGGCTGTCCTGGCTTGCATCAACATCTCCAGCATGCGCCAGATGTTCTTCCAGATGCAGGAACTTCCTCAGCTATGGCACATCAGCCGAGCAGACTTTGTGAGAAATGGCAACATTACCCTCAGTTTGCACTCTGCTAACTTCCCTAGCCTCTGTCCTGGGCCAATGCTGATTGTCCTGGTCCTCAGTCTGTGTGTCCACCCCAACATACGCCTTCACACCTCACAGAGACAAGAGAAAGATGGGCTGTAGATCCCCAGGGATCTGAATCTTTGTAACTTTCCAACTGAGGTGCAGTCTGAGGTCCTTACGGCCCAGGTGTGTCCTGTTGGGTGGATCCTGTCCCTTTATCATGCTTCCTATTTCCTCCTGGCTGCCCCTCACATCCCTGAGGTCACTGCCTCTGGACCCAGCCTTCCAGATATTCACCCCATCAATGTCCTGCAGGCTGTGTGGATGGTCACATGGGTGGCTGTTGTGACCCTGAATGTGGACCTCGGCCTGGCTGTGGGCGTGGTCTTCTCCATGATGATGGTAGTCTGCCGCACCCAGAGGTGGGTGTAGAGATGAACCTGGTCAAGGTGATGGGGACTGAACTAACAGGGTATGGGGATGCTAGTCAGACCAGGCCTGACCAGGCCTGGAATCTGACCCCAGCTTCTTCCTTAGGGTGAAGTGCCTAGCACTTGGACTGGCTGAGGGGACAGAGCTGTACAGGCCAGTTGGAGAGAGCAGCAAGGTGGGTGGGCTACGACCAAAGAGGGAAGAGAGAATTGGACCTGGATGCTCCTCTGACCCTTTCACCCTCAGCTCCTGCAGGTCCCAGGTCTCTGCATCCTGAGCTACCCAACCCCACTCTACTTTGGGACACGCGGTCAGTTTCGCCGGGTCTTGGAGCAGCAACTGGGGCTGGGAGGAGGCAAGGTAAGGAACTTGGTGAAGGAGGAGAGTGGATCCTCTAGGACTGGGAGACAGGGACATGTTCTGAGGAGTCTGTCCCAGGGGTGCATGTCTACACTTTTGTCTCGGGGGTGATGACTGCCCTTCTCTACTCACAGCAGGCTGCAAAGCCAGATGGCCTACCTGACACAGGTGAGGTGGGGTGACAAGGAGGAAGACTTGGGCCTGGTCCACAGAGGTACAGAAATGTACCTGCTTTCTCCCACCCTAGTTGGCGAGCCTGTCAGAGTGGTGATCCTAGACTTCAGTGGTGTGGCCTTTGCAGATGCTGCTGGGGCCAGGGAAGTGGCACAGGTGAGGGAGTGGGGAGGTTTTCAAGAAGCTGTCATCATAGCACACATAGCCTCTGATCTGGGATTCAGCCTTTCCCCCTCCCCCACCTCCCCTGCAGCTAGCCAGCCGATGCCAAGATGCTGGGATCTACCTTCTCCTAGCTCAGTGTAATGGTCAGTGGTGTGGAGGATGGAGGGCTGTGCGATGGGGGACCGACTGGGCCCTTGGAGTCAGGGGAGGACAGGGGATGTAGGTCCCCCAGGGTCTGACACTGTCCACACACAGCCTCAGTGCTGGAGACATTGACCCGGGTAGGACTCCTGGACAGAGTGACGCCAGACCAGCTGTTTGTGAGTGTCCAGGATGCAGCTGCACATGCCCTGGCGAAACTGGTAAGGAGCAGTGGCATAGAGTGGGACAGGAAGTGCTTACTGGGCCAGGGCAAGGAGGGTGAAAATCCAGGATCAGACACTTGATTGTTTGCTTGGTTTTGACACCAGGAATCAACTCAGGACCCTGCACTTAGCTAGACAGGTGCCGTGCCACTGTGTTGTATCTCTGGCCCAGGAACGTGAAAAAGGCAGATTGAGAAGGAAGGGGAGGGGAGGTCAAGGTCAAGATCAGACTCAAAACCAAGTCTGGTAGACGGGGCCAAATTTGGCAAAGAACTGAAGAATTTAGGTCCCAAAGGAGTGGTAGAGTACTGCTAAAGCTCAGCTGGAAGGAGCAGATGTCTAATCTACTCCAACATGTCCCCTCTCTTCTCCAGGAGCAGACTGGCCCAAAGATCTGCACAGTCTGGGTCTGACCAGGTCATGAGGGATGTGGAGGGCTCCAACAGTGTGTGTCAGAAGGGCCACCATCCCTGAGCCTGCTTAATGTAACTAATAAAGTGAGGCTGAGAGCCTCTGGGGTCCATGAAGTGGGTCTGGGTGTCTGCCTGTGGACCCCTGGCGCCCCTCCCTCTGCACCCACAGCATGAGAGACACGAACAAGAATGGCTTTCACCAGGTGTTCACTGGCCCCGCCCCGCTCCAGAGCCACACAGTCTATCTGGGCTGGAGTCCTGGATCCAGAGCTCTGATGGGGAGGCAGAGCCCTGGAACTGCACAATGCGGAGCTTCCCCAGCTCCTCAGCCCAAGGAGAGGAGAGGACAGTGTTTCCATTTCAGGGTTTTAGAGTCCTCTTGGGCTCTTTGGCACTTGGAAAGTGACCCCCCCATTTCCTGCCCCATAAGGATGGGGTGGGGGAGGACTTGGCACTGGCTGTGGGAGAAGTTATGGCTCCATCAGGCACCTGGGCACTCAGAAAAGAGTGTCACCAGGACAAACCCCTGCATGGGATCAGGTTCTCAAGGAGGAGGTGTGAGGGGCGCAGAGGCCAGGGACAGTCAGTGGAGTGCTCACTGGGTGGAGGGGGTTGCTGGGAAGTCCTGGCAGGGGAAGGAGGCAGGCCCAGCCTGCCAGGGGAAGGCCTCCGTGGCCATCATTCCGCAGTCATGCACTGCAGCCGGTGTTTGAAGAAGAGCAGGCGGTGCTTGGCCACCTGACTTTCATCCAGTGATCCTGGATACCGGTACCGGGCATAAGTCTCTGCTCCAGGTTCCCTTGATATCCAAGGCAGCTTCAACTTTGATGCATGATCCACGACGACATCTGAACAGGAGCCAACTTGAAGGGAGCCAAGTCCATCCAGGAAGAATTCTGGAGGTGGAGGGAAAGGGAACACATGGTGAAGGTGCCAGAGTGTGGAAGGCCCACCCCTACCCATACTGAAATTTCGGGAGGTGCTTATGCAGAGACTCCTTTTTATTTTTATTTTTTGAGACTCCTTTTTAAAGACTTTTTGGCATGTAAATGTTTTATGAGAAATAGAACCGGAAATCAAACTCAGCACCTTGGATTGCCAGGCAGGCACTTATGCTGCTGAGCTATGTCCCCAGCTTGTCTAATGCTTTGAAAGTGGAAAAACCTACTTCCCATCCCCAGAGGGTCAAAGAATGCCTGATGAGCTGTTTGGAGTGCAGTCTGAGCTAGGGAGGCAGCTTCAAGTGGAGTGGGGTGCCGGTGACAGTGGCAGGGAAGTTCAGGATGGACCCAGCAGTTGGGGCGGGGCGTGGAGGTTTGAATAGTTGGCAGGAGGGAGAGGGTGGAGTTCTCTCTTTGGCAGGTCACAGTAGATCTTAGCCACACTACTCTAGGGGTGACAGCTGCAGGGTGCCGGGCCAGTGTCCGCTGCCTGCTCGCACCGAGAAGCGCCAAGCACTTCGCGGGGTCTGATCAGCCGGGAGGGGGTGCCACTCACCCAGATGTGCCACACGACTGAGGCGTGGGTCGAAGCCAACCTCTCGCACCTTGTCGGTGCGCGCCAGGAAGAAGTTAACCACTCCGTCTGTGACCACGCAGCCTGGGAAACCCGCGAGTTCGTGATGGAAGCCGCGCCTTTGCCGGAAGCAGTTCCCAAGGCCTGGGGCGCCGGAGTCCACACTCAGAAGCTGCCGGTAAGTGGTGGCAAAGCCCGAGATCTCGCGCACCGCGCCCCCTACCTGCGGGGAGTGGGAGGGTGGCTCCAGGTGGGGCGAGGACGCTAGCGCGGTGGGTCTGTGCTTCTCCCCAGGACTTGCCCCCCTCCCCCACCCCACTTCCTCAGCCTCTCTCCGGCCCACACCCCCCCCTCCGGGTCGCAGCTGTCTCTCCTCGTCTTATTCCTTATCCCACCGACAGATGTGCCCTCCCCTACCAGGTCCAGGGGCGTCCGCTCCAGCACATCCACGAGCCTCTCCAGCCGTGTGCGCGCGGTGAAGATAAAGTCGTCGTCTACCCACAGCACGTACTTGGTGGTTACTTGGGACACTGCCAGATTCCGTCCTGCGAACCAGCCCTGGAGGCACGAGGGGTGGGGTGGGGGTATGCTTAGGAAGTCTGCAGAAATAGCACGGCGGCTTTTCTCTCTCTCTTGACTCCTCACTACAACCTGTGCCTTTCTCTAAACCGCTTCCAATTACCGAAAGTTAGATCAAAAACTGAAGATTTCTACTCTCACTCCAAGAGGTCGAGTCCTTGTTCTGGTGGGGGAGGGTCCTGAATGCTTTAATTCCAGTCTGCATTTACTCACTAACTCATCAATTACGTACTGAGTGCCCAGTAGGTATTAAGCACCACTCAAAGAATTCAGAGTGAATACGACAGGCAGGATTTCGGCTTCTTCAGAGCGCTGACATTCCAGGAACTTGGCGCTCCACGGGCTCCTACCTACCTGTCATTTTTTTTTTTTTTTTTTAATGTATTTAGTACAGGGTCTACAGGATCTCACTACACAAATCGGACTGGTAGTGATCCTTCTGGTTTTTCAGCCTCCCAAGTGCCACCACGCCGTCTCAATCACCTTCTCAGCGCGCCCCAGGGGAGGGGCGTATGGCAGGCCAGGAATTGAACTCCCGCCTTGTGTCTGCCTAATCAGGAGCTTTAATCCCCTGAGCTATCTGGTCGGCCCCCCTACCTGTCAAATTTTGAGGCAATCTTGCATTTACTTTCCCGGACAATGGGCACGCCCCACCCCAAAGTGCACAGGGGACCAAGTTCAACCTCCAGGCTGCGCACCTTGCCAAAAGGCATGAGATAGTGCTCCACGTGAGGGCCGCTGATTCGCTCTGGCTTGTCGCTGTCGTCAGCGATGACCACAGTGACAGTGGGGTAGAAGCGTCGGATGCTGGCTATGAGTGCCCGGAGCCGATCATATCGAAGGAACGTCTTGGTGGCAATGGTGACCAGAGCGCTGATATTGTACTGGGCTGAGAGATAGGACTCAGGGTTGAGTGCAGAGAAGGCAAAAGGGGAAAGAAGTAGGGACACACCCACTCCCGGGGCTGCCCGCTCCCACAGGGCTCCCCAGCAGGGTTGGATCTGTCATCTCCCTACCCTCACCAGCCTCACCTCCCTCGGGTTGAGACCCACGCGGGTACAGCCGGGGATTGGGGGGATGTCTTATGCGGATGGTGAAGGCAGCCTGGTGTCCCTCCGTGGAGAAGCGGACTGGGAAGAAAGGCCATAAGATTGGACCCTTAAGGGTAGGGCAACATTTTTTCAAAGTGGATGGAAGTGAAGGAATCTATGGCAATCCTGGTCTAAGCAGGGATCACTTTAAATCCCTTCCCCCCTGCTACGCTTTTAGGCCTGCTGCAGGGTCATGGGTCATCGGTCCATAAGACCCTGTAAACACAGCTGCACCTTGTAATTCCTACTCATTGTTCAACTCTACTCTTGACAAACAACATGCAACTCCTTGTACATCCTCTCTCCTTATAGGTCCTCGAGCCCTGTGTGTTGGAGGGGGGAGCCACAACGTCTTTGTACTGAATTCTCCCCTTGAAAGTCCCATTGTAACCTTTTCCTTCCACAGCTCCCATCTTGTCTTTTTTTTTTTTTTTTCCTTTGTGAGACAGAGTCTCACCATGCAGTTCAACCTGGCCTTCAGTTCACTTTTAGCCCAGGCTGGTCTGGAACTCTCAAGGATCCTCCTGCCTCAGCCTCCTGAGTGCTAGAATTACATGTTGCCACACTTGCCTGGTGTTGTTTTTTTGTTGTTTTTTTTTTTTTTTTTCTTTTCCTTTTTTTTTCACCAGGGATTGAACTCAGGCCCTTGTACTTGCCAGGCAGGCACTTATTTCACTGAGCTATCTCCCTGGCCCTACCCTTGCCTTTTAAAGAAATGGGTTTTGCTGTGCAGTTCAGGCTGGCCTTGAACTCATTTTGTAGCCCAGGCTGGCCTTGAACTCACAGTTATCCTCCTGCCTCAGCCTCCTGAGTGCTGGGATCACAGGTGTGCACCATCACACAAGGGCAGCCCCCCTTTGCTATGCTCACGACCTTGGTCTGGTTGCTAGTGCCTGTCTACCTGTCAGGTTTGGTCTGAAATAAACCTCTCCTGTTGAGCTCCTATCCCTGCTTCTTTGCATTTTTATCCTAATAGTAAAGAAAGTGTCAGCTGTGTCAGGCACACAATGACAACACAGCATACTGGCAGCTGAAGTAAAGAGTTTTTAAAAGTGCCACGAAAGCAACATTCAAAAAAAGATGATTGGGGCTGGTGAGATGGCTCAGTGGTCTAAAGCACCTACTTGGAACAAGTTCAGCAAAGCACAGGGACCACGGTTCGATCCCCCAGCACCACATGCCAGCCAGCCCCGCCCCCTGGTGGGCTGAGATGGCCACACACACACACACACACACACACACTCACAAATAAATAAAATTAAAAAAAAAAAAAGATGATTGTTTACACTCCAAGAGATGCCAACTAATATGGAGTAACAAATAAGATGGTGAAATTTTTCCACAAAAACCACATATTAAAAAATAAATAAATCACAAAAATCAATCAATTAATCAGTTGCTACTAATAAGATATGATCATCTTCAGCCAAAGGCTGAGCTTCAGTCAGGAGCCAGTACTCTATCTAGCCTCAAGACACAGGCTGTACAAGAGCTCTGTGAAAAAGAGGTGCTTTCCTGGCTTTATTTATTTATTTATTTATTTTTGTGCTGGGGATCAAACTCAGGACCTTAGGCTTGCCAGGCAGGCACTTAGGTCACTGAGCTATCTCCCAGACTCTCCAAGCTTACTTTAAACTGGGATTTTCTATTCAGTTAGTGATTCAAGCTCAATTTATACAAGTAGCTATGGATCAAAACCTTATATCTGTTTGTGTGTGCTTTATAGGATAAGGGTTTGTTCTGTAAAAGCAGATCTATTTGTCTAGGGGCTGGAGAGATGGCTCAGTGGTCTAAGGCACCTACTTGAAGCAGGCTTGGCAGAGCACAGGGACCTCGGTTCGATCCCCCAGCACCATATGCCGGCCAGCCCTGCCCCCTGGTGGGCTGAGCTGGCCACACACAAACACACACACACAATAAATAAATGTAATAAATAAAAATAAATATTAAAAAAATCTATTTGTCTAATGTGTTCCTTAATCTACGGTGCTCTTTATCCATGACAGGGCGTCAGTATTTCAGTACCTAGTCTGTGGCACGCCTTTCTAGACATCAGTGGACAAGAACATAAAGTTCTTTAGCTGGGTGTGGTGGTGCACATCTGTAATCCCATTACACAAGAGGCTGAGGCAGAAAGATTCCAAGTTCAAAGCCAGCCTGGGGGGCTGGTGAGATAGCTCAGTGGACTAAGTGCCTCTTTAGGCAAGCACAGGAACCAGGGTTGGATGCCCCGGCACTGCCGCACCGGCCCTGCCCCTGAGCATGCTGAGTGGGCCACTGAGAGCAGGTGTAATTCCAGCGCTCGGGAGGCTGAACACAGTCTCAGCTGTGAGCTGCATAGTGAGAGCCTATGCCAAATACATTAAAAAGCAAAACAAAACAAAAACCTCACAAAGCCAGCCTGGAGTACATGGAAAGTCCAAGACCACATACATAGATATGTTACATATATTATACTACATAGTAAAACACTGTCTCAAACAAAGACCCCAAACTTCCCTGGTGGTCTAGTGGTTAGGATTCCGCGCTCTCAAACAGAGACCCCAACACAACAAAGCCCCACTTCTGGCCAACCAAATATCACAAGGTTTGTACCCCCTTGTAACTTACATTTTAATTTTTGTTTGTTTATTTATTTAGTGTGTGTGTGTGGCCAGCTCAGCCCACCAGGGGGCAGGGCTGGCTGGCATGTGGTGCTGGGGGATTGAACCGCTGTCCCTGTGCTTTGCTTAGCTTAGCTTAGTTTGCTCTAAGTAGGTGCTTTAGACCAACGAGCCATCTCACCAGCCCATAACTTACATTTTAATAGGTGGAGAGAAAGATGAGGAAAAGTTATCCATTAAAAGCTAACATTTACTGAGGATTTACTGTGTTCCAGGCACTTTTAAAGATTACCTTAACTATACGAATTCATTAGATCTTCATGGTAGCCCCACTAAGTAAGTTCCTACTATTGTACAGAGAAAGCAGTGGAGACCCAGAAAATTAACTTGCCCCACATTTATACAGCTACAAAGCTCCTAAGAACCTAATCAGGCCTATCCCCGGATTAGGTAAATAAGAAAATTCAGATACTGGTGGGTATTGACTAGAAGACAAGTGATACACAGTAATGATAAAGAGAAGACATTTGAGCTCTGATCTAAATGACAGGAAGCCAGCCATGCAAAAATCTTAGGGAAGAATGTTCCAGCATAGGGAACAACAGCACGTGCAAAGGCCCTACGGTAGGAGCAAACTCAGTGTTACCAAACAAGCTTTGGACAAAGGCAAGAGGGCTCTATGCCCCTTTCTCAAGAGGAAAAATGGAAGTTCTACAAGGTAAATGACTTTGTCCTCAGTAAGTGATGGGTTGGGAATACAGCCTAAGTCTTCTGGCCACAAATGCCTATCATTTCCTGGGGCCCCATGGTTGGCCAGAAGTGGGGACACACCCGAGGCTCGAGTTTCTCTCTGGCCTGCTCTGGCCCCAGATGAACAAAGGCCCCTTCTCTGCATCCCAGTCCTGTTGGCCCAGTTGAAATGTCCATTGTGTTGCTGGGCAGCTCCAGCCATCACCCGAGTGTCTCCCACACTCTCTGCTTTTTGCCCACTGAAATCTTTCTGGAAACTCACCATCCATCTAGCCTCCCCCTACCTTCAACCAGGCCTCGCACCTGTGTCTGCTGTGTTGGCCTGGTAGTTTCGGCTGCTGTAAATGACCAGCTGCAGCTGCCTGTTGAGTTGGTCCAGCTCTGGGCTGGCAAGGGTGAGATCCGGCTGCCCTTCTCCAGTGAGAGTCACTCCAGTGACTTCCCCTGCCACATCCCAGGTGCCCAGGGAGGCAGTCAGGTTCACCTGGCAGAGGGGGTTGGAGAGTGGAAGCTTAGGCCTTAGGCCCATCTGCTGCCTCCCTGATTCCTCCACCCTGCTTGGAGGCTGTGTTCCCCTTCCCAGCATTCGTGATGCCCACCTGGCCTCCTTGCTCTCCTGCTTTCTCTCACCTGGTATAACTCCTGACCAGACAGTGCCTGTAGGCTCAGTCCTGGGAGGAAGGATGCAGGATCAAAATTACAGATAACCCCAAACTCTTCTTTCATTTTTTCCTCTTTCATCACATACAAACACTCAAACTTTCACCCATCTCCTTGGAGGCCTCAGCACGCACTTGTTTCAGACTCTCTCCTATTAAAGCAGTAGCTCTTCTGAGGCTTGTTTTTACCTATAAACTTTATTATAATCTTGTTTTAATCTTTAACCAGTTAGCAAAGAATAGAAGCCTCTCGTGATAGTCTTTGGCAACTCCTACCTTCGAACAGAAGTTTTCACCTTTCACTCCAAACTTCCTTCACTCCCACCTCCCATCCCATCCCTAGGTAACCACCCCAATGGTTACCTAAGCCATCCTCTAGGACTCTTTTCCCCACCTGGCACCAAGATGCTCCTCAGAGGCTGAACCTCCACTCCCTGCAGGGGGTACTGTAGGGGAGAGTTGGCAGGGGCTACAAGCAGCTGGTCAGCAGGGGACTGACTCCTGGTGGCAGAGGAGGGGAGCACAGAGGAGTCAGGAGGTGAGGGGCTCATCCTGGCAGAGCCACTGCAGGCCTCCACTGCCCTTCCCCACAGAGGCATGTCTTTTATGTCTTTCTTTTTGGCTGGTACCTGGAAAGGAAGGCCTGGAACTCCTGCTCTCTGGCGGCAGAGGCAGCCTTCAGCTCTTCAGGGTCAAAGGCCTTAGTGAGATCAATGGCTCGGACCTGTCTTTGGAAGGGAAGGGGGAGGCTCCCCCCACTGGACTCACAACTGCAGTTGTTCTGAACCAGCAGCCTGAAGATGAGAAGGGTCTTAAGAGCCCAGCTACATTCACCCCAAAATATACACAGCACCCCGTGCCTTGGCTCTTTGGCACTGTCCATCCATTATCTATCCTCTTAAACCTTGCTCTTCAAACAGTTCCCAGGAAGAAGGACCACAGATGAGCTAAGCCATTCCTGAAGTCTGGATTGTACAGAAGTGTAAAGTAGGAGGATCATTAGAATTTCAGGATCTACCTCCCCACCATTTAGGAATGTCTGGGAACTCTTCCAGTGACTAAATCAGGGTATCTGGGGTCTTTGGGGGCCTTCCCCTGCCTGCACACACTTCCATCCCCCAGCCCCACAAGCCACAGGCCAAGCCTCAGCTGCCCACTCTACCCACTGCACTCCACACAACCCAAGAAGGGAGGCGCCTGAGTCCAGCCCTGCTGGAAACAAAAGCTCCCCAAGGACCCAACCCCAACATTTGCTGTCCCAGTAGTGGGCACTCACCCCACCGCTTGCTCCTTGATCCTGACTGGGATGTGTGCGTAACGAGGCTCAGGGGCAAGCTCTGGCAGCTCTGGCCTGGGGGCGAACCGCGGGCGCGTCCACAGTGCAGACCGGGTCCGGGGGCCCGGCGCGTCTCGGGTGCTCACGTACAAGAGCCCCAGCGAGGCGCAGGCGAGCAGCAGGACCAGCGCGCAGAGGGCCCGGCGGCCCAGCCGCATCCTGGGTGGGGGTAGGAGGAGTGGGTGGGAGAGGGTGGGAAGGAAGGTGAGGGCGCTTGCCCTTGACCCCAGCGACCCGGGTGTCTTACCGAATCCCAAAGGCACCTTCCCCTCCGCTAGGAATTGACCGAGAGCCTGCGACATCCCTCCTCTCAGGGCCCCGGCTCAGGGTCTCCTGGCCTCCTTTCTTCTCGTCCTCTCCCGCATCTCATTTTCCTCTCCCACCCTAGGCCTGGCATCTCCATGCAAGAGACATTTGGATGCAGCGGTTTGCGGCGGTGCAGAAAGAAAAAAGCGTCGCGGTAGCGTAGCCGAGGTCCCCGAGCCCGCCGCCTGCCGGGGCCCACAGCCACCCGCCCTGGCCCACCCGGGTCCTAGCATCACCTGGGCGGAGGTGGGCTGAAGAGAGCGGCTCCACACCTTGCCTGTCAGGAAAAATGCAGCATCACTACCGCGCTGTGGGGTTCCCCGGCGGAGGTGACCCCTTGGGCGGCCTCGGGGAGCTGCGCGGGGGACTGGGTGGACCCGCGAGTGCGCCTCCCGCTGTCCTCGGCCCTCCGCTCGCCCGGGCACCGACCTGTCTAACGCTCTCGGGCCGGGCTGTGCCGGGCTCTCAGCCTCGGCCCCGGGGTCCTCATGGGGCCAAGGAGGCCGGATCGCGAGCAGGGCGTAAGCCGGGGAGAACGGGGCTCCTCCTGTCTCTGGAGAGCGCCCGCCCTTCGCGCCTTCGCGCTCCCTCGGGCTTTGTGAACCGAGGCGCGGGGGTCGCTTGGATGCTTTCAGCCTGGGCGAGCACGGAGTTGCGAGTCCGCTGCACTCTGGCCCCGGGAACAAAGCCGGGATCCCTGGCACCGCGTCCCACTTGGAGGTCCGGAGGGCTCAGGCTGCCTCCCGGCTTTCACACCGCACTGCCGAGCACAGAGGCTCCGGGGCTGGCTGCGGCTGAGGCTCGCGCAAGGCGAGCGGCGCGGCGCCTTCTGGCGGGCGCGGAGGATACTGCCCGGGTGCGGAGCCCAGCGGGAAGTTCCTCCCTCCTAGCCCCACGGCCCTTTGCCCCCGAGCCTGACATCTCAGTGGCCGGCTCCCACCACGGTCGTTGTTTCCTATTTGCTCCGGGCAAGGATTGTGCAATGGGGAGCGCGGAGGGGGCGGGGCTGGAGGCGCTACAACCCCGTTCCTGCTGTTGTAGCGAGGACCTGGAAGCGAGGAAAGCGTGGGTCCTTTCGGTGACAGGGAAAGAAACCCAGCAAGTAAATACTCCCTGGCTAACGAAGCCAGCCACAGCCTCAACCCCCACGGCACGCCACCACTGCCTCCTCAAATTACCTAACAAACCTCAGGAGATCAGAGCTCTGAAATTCTGGGGCCTGTTTCCTTCTGTAACTGCTCCCAGTTGCAATTTCAGGACAAGGGGGAGGGGGGAACACCCAAAGAGTGGTCATATGGCCAGTAACTCTGCTTTAAGTTTTAGGCCATGTATAGTTAACTGGACCAGAATAAAGTCCTGTGGTTTCCTGTTTTCGTAGAAGACAAACTAAGGTTTTATAGGGAGGGAAAAAAGTAAAATACGTGTATGGAGGGTAGGATGATTATTAAATGAATTGTCTATAAATAAATGACTACTTAGCTGGGAAAGAAAGGGAAATTCCACCCTCCTGCTGAAAAATAAAGTCTAAATTTACAAAATGTTTTTGTATTAAAAATAAAATCATAATATAGCAAAAAAATTCAAGGAATTTTATTTTTGTTTTATTTTATATACAATTTTGGTGTGAAGAAGAGATTTCTAAGCAACTTATAAATGGAAATAGCAATACATTTTTCTATATAAAAACCCTTTGAAAAAAAATAAAAGCTCTTTGAGAAGGGATAGGGATACGAGAGCTTACCAAACAGGCACAAGGTCCTGAGTTTGATCCCCATTGCCATAAAATAAAACAAAAACAGCCAGCGATGAAGGCACTCTCTCTGTATATATTTTTTAATATGTATTTGGTACAGGATCTCACCATGCAGCTCAGATTCATAGTGATGGTGGGGGGGAGTGATGCGGGGAGTCTAACCTTAAGCAGGCCCTTAGTCCACTGAGATATTTGACTGGCTCAAAGGCACCCTTCTGTAACCTCAGATACCTGAGAGGAGAGACTGAGCTAGGAAGATTATTGCAAGTTTAAGGTTAGGCTGGGCAACTTAGCCATCTCAAAATAAAAAATAGGGGACCAGGGAGATGGCTCAGTGGAATAAGCGCTTGTCTGGCAAGCACAAGGGCCTGAATTCAATCCCTGGTTCTTCAAAAAAAAAAGCAAGGGCTGGGGATGTAGTTAAGTTGGAGAGTGCCCTTAGGTTCAGCCTCTAGTAGCACAAAACAAACACAGAAACAAAAAGTACTTGAGTGAAGAAGTTATGACAAACTTATAGTGGGAAATGGCAAGCCATGATGAAACATTTGCAATCTACTTTGCTGAGTGCATGTCGTTAGTATGTAAAAACACATCAAATTATTTTCTTTTTTCTTTCTTTTTTATATATTTAGTATAGGGTCTACAGGGTCTCACTACACAGAACAGACTTGTAGTGATCTTCCTGTTTTCAGCCTTCCAAGCACTGGGATTACAGGTGCACACCACCATGTTCAGTCTCAATTGCCTTCCCAGAGTGCCCTGGGGCTGGGGCTGGTATGGCATGCCAGGGATCAAACCTGGGACCCTGCAACTGCCTAAACAGGCACTTTAATCTGCTGAGCTATCTAGCAGTCTTTTTTTTTTGGTCTTTTTTAAAGAGAATAAAAATAGTAAAAAAAAAAAAAGCAATGATACAATACAGAATTTCACAAAACAAACTAATCAAACTAATAGGGATTCAATATTCAACAATGTTTGTTATACTTCATGATATTACAAAAAACAAACAAATACAATTTTGGGGCCAGGGAGATAGCTTAGTGGCATAAGTGCCTACCTGGCAAGTGTAAGGTCTTGAGTTCAATCTCTGGTTACCCCCCAATAAACAAACCAAATAAATAAATACTGCATAATGTTGTCTTCAAATAGTTGTTCAGATTACTGGATATAAGCATACAAAATTGATTTTAAAAAGTTATAAGAAATTAAAAGGGAAGGGCCAGTCAAATAGCTCAGCAGATGAAAGCATCTGCAAGCAGATGCGGAGGCTGGAGGTTCGATCCCCAGGCCTGTGGTGCCAGCCCTGCACTCGTGCCCCGCTGAGATGGCGATTGAGACTGGGCATGGTGGTGTGCCTGTAATACCAGCTCTTGGGAGGTTATAAACAGGTGGATCACTACAAGTCTGATGTAGTAGTAAGACCCTGAACACCCTGTAGACCCTTCCCTAAAATACAAAAAAAAAAAAAAAAGAAAGAAAGAAATTAGAAAGAAAAAAAAACAAGTTTAAGCATTAACTGCTCCTTTCAATAGAATAGTAGAAATCAACAGTACAATTATCCAAGCTATCCTGTATATATACATAAATGTCTTTTTTGGGGGCGGGCGAAGCAGAACCAGGGATTGAACTCAGCCCTTACACTTGCCAGGGAAGCGCTTATTCTATTGAGCCATCTCCCCAGCCCCCATAAGTGCCTTTTTCCCTTTCTTCTTTCTTTTTATTTTTTCCTTCCTTCTTTCTTTTGTCCTTTTTCTCATCCTAGCTGTTCTTTCTCTTTGAACAAATTCTTTTCCTTTCACAGTATCTATTGTACCTTTCTGATTTTATTTACTCTTTGAGGTTCTTACACTAGGGAGACAATATGATGTTTGCACAAGCGGGTCTGATTTAGTTCACGTGTGAGTATGACTTCTATTTGGATCCATTTACCTATATAAAAGCCTCAAGTTTATTGTTTTTAATAGCTAAGTAATACTCCAGAAGCACACCAAATTGTATATTTATCAACTGTATGCTTCTGTATAATCTGGACACTTCTTGGTATACAGATCACAAATACATGGAACAAATTATAATGCATAATTATACATATTTGCTTTTTTCAGTTTATGTATTTGGTAGAGGGTCTCACTACACAGCTCGTACTCATAATGAGCCTCCTGTTTTCAGCCTTCTCAGCACAGGAATTACAAGCGTGTACCACCACGCCCACTCTTGGTGGCCAGCTCTGCATGCCTGAAGGTGGGGCTAGGCAGGGCACATGGAGACAGGGATCGAACCTTGGTCCCTGTGCTTGCCTAAGCAGGTGTTTAGTCCACTGAGCTATCTTGCTGGCCCTTTTATTTGCTTTCTATTGCTAGGACAAAATACCTAACGTATGCAATTTATTTATTTAGTTAGTTTTGTCTTTTGGGGATGGGGGTCTTGCTACGTAGTTCAGGCTTGCCTTGAGCTCACTTTGTAGTCCAGGTTGATCTCACAATGATCTTCTTGCTTCGGTCTCCCAAGTGCTGGGATGACAGGTGTTTGCCACCATGCCAGGCCCTAATGTACACAGTTTGAAAGAGAAAGGATTTATTTTGTCTCTGTTGGGTTTCAGTTCTTGGCTGGGAAGTGCCAAAGCAGAAGCCTCAGAGTGAACAAAGGGTGTGGAGGAAAGCTGGTCAGCTCCTGGTATGTGGGCAGCAGAAGGGAAGGAAGAGTCCAAGGAAGGAGCAGGGACTCTAACCCACCCAGACAAACCCAAAGCATCTTAGGTGTCTCTAAGCCAGTCAAATTCGTGACCAAGGTTAAAGATCACAGTGGAGGCACAGGGAAGGCTGAGGTAGGAGGATTTCAACTACCAGGCCAGCCTGAGTTACACAGACTGGGGAGGAAGTGAGAACATTGCCATCTGCTTTTGAAAAATCTTTCTAAGACATCTAGAGCTCTTCATGCCACGTATAAGGTTTCTGTTCTTCTGATAGTCACCATGGAGCACTCCTTTGGTGTAGCCATCTAGCAGTCCTAGTAGGGATAGCACGAGTTGCCTTCCTCACACGACAGGAAGATGGTACTGATGACAGATTGAATTCTTTTCCTGTGGTCTTTCATCCTCAGAGAGGCTAACCTGGGCTAGCCAGGGTGGTGGTGCACACCTCTAATCCCAGCATTCAGGAGGCGAGGTAGGAGAGTCACTGTGAGTTCCAGGCCAGCCTTGGCCCCTTAGTGAGTTCAAGGTCAGGCTCACCTACCTAAGGGGATCCTCTTGTGAAACAATAACAACTCCTCCCCCTAAGAAAAACACAGGATTAGGACAGGCTGAGGTTGTAGCCTGTCAGTGTGAAGATCTCGGGTTCAAACTGCAGTACTGGAAAAACAAACAAAAACAAGTCATCGGGCTAACTTGGATCCAGCTGATTAAACTCCTACCTCATAATCAACCCGGCTGCAAAAAAATTGTGACCATTTTTAATCTCTGTAATTATCAGTGGACAAACCTTCAACTCCAGCAACTGTTGCTTAATTCAATATTTTTAGGAAGAGAGGCTGTGTCAATAACTTGTGTTCACATCACCAGGAGTTAGGCTCTGAAAAAGCTGAACTATACACATGAGCCAGCCTAGAAGCAAAGTCACCCCAATAATGATGAGCAACAGACACTGAGATCTTCCAATGCCTTTCTCATGGAAGGGAATGGGACTCCTTTGACTCATTGTATAACTCTTAACAGCTGCTTTTTTCTTTTTTGGAAGGTTTGTTTTTTTTTTTAGGAACTGGGGATTGAACTTAGGCCCTTACGCTTGCCAGGGAAGCACTTATTCTACTGAGCCATCTCTCCAGCCCCAAGGTTTTTTTTTTTTTTTTTTTTTTTTTGATACCAGGAATTGAACTCAGGACCTTGCAGTTGCCAGGCAGGCTCTGTACCACTGAGCCCAGCCCCTCATAACAAGATTGAGGCAGGGAGAATTAAAAGATGAACCTGAAATGTCAGAGCAATGGTGTGCTTAAAAATGATAGAAGTTTGTCAAAGGACATGTATGAAAGCCAGCTTGAGAGGGCTTAGGGACAGGTTAAGCACCAA